TTACCTTGTAATGAGTGACCGTATCTCGTATTGTCCATGCACTACACATACACTGATCAACCGATATTAAATCTGCCCCAACAATTTTTTCCATTTTCAGATTTCCCTCCACCGTTGTTCGAATGATTGGCGGACCTTTTCTGCAAAACCAGCAGTTGATAAAGTAAATTTAAATTAAACAGACAAGGATTAAGGATTATGATTGCATTCTTATCAATTTATAAAATTTCGGGTTCAAATTAAAAGTTCGTCCGTATTTTGCCCTCAAAATTCGTGGTATACTTTCGGTAAAATCGAATATTTGCGCGGCTCATCAGATGCAAAAAATAAATTAATAAATTTTTATTAATTCAGGCCTTATTTGGAAAGTTTAATCTTCGTCCCTATAATTAGTTGTTACTAGTTTTTTCCTGTCCACATTTGTTTATAATATTTTTACTTACGCTTACTTCTTGTTAGCAAAAAAATATCTTTTGCTCGTGATACTAGTTTACTAGTCTCAGAGGTGGGAGAAGGGAACGTCACCATAGTCTATGAGGGGCAACGTTCGGAACGAGGCAATGACACTCAACATAAATCAAGGATATCACAAAGCGGCTAAGGCCACGCCAAGTGCTCTTATCCTAAAATTAGTCTGAGCAAGTAATTCCTTCAAGAGACGAAAGGTGACCATTAGAATTGTCGGTAATCTGACCATCAGGGAGTACAACACCGGTCAAAGCAAGTGGAAAATTTGAAAACCACATAGCTGGGGAGCTGGACTATAAATTATGCTGATTCAAGTACCCGACCAAAATAAATCATATGTTGCCTATAATTAAAGTCACATAAACAGACTAAATTCATGATGTGCTTGCTGGAATAATATAAAAAGAGCTACTGATGATACTTAAGGTCTGTCATTTTGAAATTTTGATTTGAAATGAAAAATCATATTCCACTCTGACCTCCTTTCGTCGGTATAAATGGTAACAGTTTCGTGTCGTCGACCATCCCTATCGATGTAAGCTTTCGATGAATCTATTGGGCTGGTGCCACGAGCACGCGCCTGATCGCCTAACCGAGCAGTATCCCAGGAAAATGCATTTGATAATTTTAATACTCCTCCATCCTGAAAGAATATTTAGCAAATTAGCTAAAAAGCAGTTTCACCCTTTAATTGAGGATCCAAAGTGCAGCATGCATGGAAAGGTGTGAGAAAAAAATTCGTTGGCTCTTTCTCCCTCGTTCTTTCTTCGTCATCCTTTCCGCTTCCTCATTTCCCTGGTTTAAGTTCATTAACTTCACTAAAAAACGAAGGCAATTTTATAATTTTCTGGGGAAAAAAATTAAAGGGATATAAAAGTGTAACTAAGTGATCAAGGCTCAAAGAGGAAAAATCGAGGTAAATCTTAAAATTAGTAGGAATAA